ATTGTCTTATATATGTTTTTGAAAAAACTTAAATAGTGACCCTCGTACAATATGATTAAATTCTTGCATCAAGCAGTTTTGAAAGAGATAAATAATAATTTTTATAAAAAGATTTCATTTATGTTTACAATTCATCTATTTTCTTTCAAATATTTCTCAATTCTCAGCTTTACCGTCGATAAATTTACTTCTAAATCAATCAAATTAGTATCACAATTCGGTATTTTCTTTGTATAATAATCATTGAATGTAATGAGCATATAATTAATTGGTTCATATTTTGTGTAATCACTTCCTCTAACTGGAATATTAAAAAGCGGTATTGCACGGGTATTATGCGCTGAATTATAATAGTTTAAACTGTTTGATATATGAGTTGACTTCATATCTCCATTAATAATTTTGAAGATGAAAGACACTTGCGCCATCTTCCGTCTTTCCTCCAGCGTAATCATTTGTAGAAACAGCAGTCTATGCTCATATTTTGGAAGTCTATAGCCATCCCAGTTCATTCTCCTTAGCGCATAAAGTAAAAATTGTTTTTGTATTGACTCTATTCTTTTGCACATATTGTCGTAGTGTGGATTCCATATTTCCGATCCATATTCGATGATTGGTAATACAAATGTAAAATAAAGGCGTTTAATTGTCCATGGATCGACGAAATCCTTGCCGTAGAACTTTAACCAAGCCAGTCTTGATTTGGCTTTAGCCGTGACATGCTCAATGTGTGATTTGAAATTCATTTGCACATCAAGCAACACTCCCAAGTCCCTTATTATAAAGACTCTTTCAATTTGCACGCCGCCTATGTTGTATTTGTATTCATATTGCAGTGATCCCCGGTGATATGATATGATCTTTGTTTTGTTAACATTTAGTTTTACGCTACACGATCCAAGTCATTTTGAAGATTAATGCAGTCATCTGTTGAGGTGATACATTTTGAAATTTTTGTATCATCAGCGAATGAAAGTATGGTAGAATTGGTCACGAAGAAAGGTAGATCTATTACAAACATGATGAACAAAGTAGCGCCAATGGGATATCCTTGACCCGTCCCAGAAGTAACTTCGATTGGTTCGGATTTGATATCTGCAATCTTTACAATTTGTCTGCGACCAGACAAGTAAGATTTGATCCATTTTAACAGCTGCTCATTCAATCCCATGATTTCAAGTTTTTGAATAAGTAAATTTAAGTTAACCGAGTCAAAGGCCTTGGCTATGTCTAAAGAGATGGCGTCTGTTTGATGTCTTCTTCCCATGTTAATAATAGTTTTTGAAGTAAATTCCACTAAATTTGTTATCGTTGACCTGTTCTTGATGAATCCGTGCTGACTTTCGTGTACTATGTTCTTCAAATATAGATTGAGATGGTCTGTGACGATCGAATCGAGAATTTTTGCCGTAATGCACTGCAAAGCAACACCGCGATAGTTTTGAACGTTGTTTCTATCGCCGTTCTTGTAAACTGGTCTGACAAATGACGTTCTCCATAACTGCGGTACTGTGGCAGTTTCAAGTGATTCCTTTAATAGTGTTGATATTGGCTCCTGTAATGAAATCAATCAATGCTTGATGAATTTGTTTGGAATTTCATCTGGACCACAGACAAGATCATCTGGCAGCATGCTTATATGTTGACCTACAAGCTCCTCGGTTATTTCGATCATTGATATTTCAGCACAAATATCACGTATTTTTTCTATTTCTGAGCTGTCATATCGAAGATCACCTTGTAAAGAGCTATAAGCGGTGCCAAAGTGTTTTGCAAAAAAACTAGCAATTGTTAATTGATCGCTTGCTTTTTCATTCAAATAAGTCATCTCATGTGGTAGATCTTCACTTTTCCCTTTTTTGAAATTCACGTGCTTGAAAAATTTCTTTGGGTCTTTTCTTTTCTACTAAATAGATGTTCCTTTTTTGGCCAACTACTTTAACACAAATCTGTTCCGCATCGAACTGGTCACCCTTTCCGATGCTGATCGACTTCAATTTGTTGTCAACAGCAATCAAGACACCTTCTCCATTCTCCTTGCGATGAACTTGGTCCCTCTCGGTGTTTGGTGACCCATCACAACGATATACTTCGTACATCTGCGGAAACAAGTCTGTTTAATTGATGGCGCTATTCAGATGAGTCTCCCGCAGCATGTAAATTGGTGAATGTTGTACAAGAACTTCCGCCACAAACTCTGGTATTTTTGTTTTTAATCCATTTACATTTTGCGAATGAATAGTCAACTGTCTTGAATATTTTTCATCGTTAAAATTGTGTGAAGTACTCATTTCTGAGTTACCCATCTTTTTATTTATTTATTTTTATTTATTTATTACCAATCCTAAATTTATACCATTGTGTGAGTCTAGTAAACTATACACATGCTGGCTATGTGCCCAATAAGGTATAAATTCCGCCCATGGTGCGACTATCAAAAAGAGATACAATATAAGGGAGGGAGGGTATTTATGAGTTACCATAAATACCGATATAAACCATGGCAAAACCGATCTAATTCAGGAGAATTAGAGGAACTTCTTAATATTAAATATTATCTTAAATATATTAAATATATTTTGGAAATAAAATAATAAAATAAATTAAACTAAAAATGATAAAAAAATAACAAAATAAGAATAAGTAATTAAATAAATAATTAATTCAATAAATAATAAATAATAAAATAAAATAAATAATTGAATAAATAGACAAATAATAAAAAATAATAATAAAATAAAATATTTTATGATGAAAGATGGATCACGAGAATGGAAAACAAGCAGTTTACAAATATTTAAATGATAAGGAATTGATATAAAAAATTAATTATTCAGATTCGCGAAGCCATTGCTTAAAATGAAATTTAAATGAATTAACCGATTCACAATCTTTAATCGTATTTGGAATTGAATTGAAAAAATAATTGCAGCGAAACCGAACGCACGTTTATCAAACTCAGAATGAGGCCTTACTTGAACACATAGTTGACCGTCTGAACGTCTCGAATTCTCATTCAACACAAACATATCATTTAAATAGGAAGGTGAGCGGAATTTAAGTTGCTTAAGAATGAGTATGGCAGATTTTAATTTAGCCTTAGACTCAGGAGTGAGCCCATTTATTCGTTTACGATATTCACTGATATGATCACTTCGTTTCAAGCCGAAAATATAACGAAGTTTATCAGCTATTAAGATACGATTTTGTTGATTGGCAGAGCCATGAGCTCCCCAACCATATGTGATCACATCACCATAACTTAATATGGGATCGATTAATGAAGTAGCAACGTCGCGTTTTACATAGTTTGGCATGATGTGACGAGTGTGGAGATGATCGTCATTAATTTTATCAAAATCTACTTCAATGTGCGCTTGGAAATCGTCTGCAAATAAATGACCAATCATGTGTTCTGGAACGTTGAGCGTATCATTAAAAAATAGCGAAAAAAATGTTTGGCCGAAATTAGTTCCTTGTAAAATTCCGTTATCAATCACGACGTTATCCGAATTACCGATTTTAACTCTTTGCGAAATATTACTAATAAATTGATTTTATTAAATTTAACGAATTATTATCAAAACCGTACGAATCACAAAATTTTAATAACGCGCTATGTGGTACCGAAGGAAATGCACGATTAATAGATGACATGATACTCTCCGAAATATTCAATAAAGCCGTTGTACAACTATGATTCTTGCGAAATCCTGATTGACGTTCATGAATCAAATGATTTGATTCCAAATAGTCGATGACTTGTTCATTAATCAAGATCGCGAAGATTTTTGGTCTTGATTTCCATCGATGAAAAATTAACAGCCGAGTTTGTTGTGGCATCTAATAGTGGTTTCCGGTTTGCCAGCGCTGAGCCGGCGGCTGAAGACCCCTCCGAACACGTTGAAAATCTGCAAAACTTTTCTTGAATTCAATAAAACAAGAGCGGCAATCACAATCATCAAAATGCGGTCTATCTCTCGGCGAAACATTCTTAAAATGGCGTTGGTTATTGAAACCATAATTCCAATAGCCTCGTCGACGGTCAGTTACCCAATTCTTTCTTTGGAATGAACGTCTGAATGGATAACTGTGTGTTATTCAGCGCTTATGGCTGTGTTATGTCTGAATAAAAACATACTCTCCTCTCGATATTTTCAATACATATGTTCTCTTAAAAATTTCATCAATTTAAGCCCCAAGTCAAAGATAAAAAAAATATGCATGCCACACACCACAGAAAAAACCACTTTTCCCCATTATGAACCACAATTTCTATGATTTCGATTCAAAAATAACCTTAAAATCCATATTTTCATTCTATTTGAAAAAGATTCAAATTCATGTTTCTTGAATCTTTAACATTGAAAATCGCGCTTACAAAACTATTGATATCAAATAAAAAACGAGGTGAAGAACGAGTGACGAAACCAAAATTTGAAACACAAAATATCTGATATCAATTTTGTGACGAAAATAGTTGGTAGATATATTTTCTGTGTACTGTGAATATAAACTTAATATACATTTGTAAATTCGGAACGTTGCTTCATTGCATCAGTTTGAACTAAAAGTAAAAAGAAGAGAATTTCTGCAACGTTTTGAATATACAAATGTATATTAACAAGGATACATCACTACTTTCCTGGTAAGCTATTTTTAAGTATTTTTACAAAGAGTGTACGTTCCCATATTTCTTTGCGGCGAAAGAGGCGACGCAATGATAACATTTTGTACATATTTTGTAATTCGGGTTAGCCATACAAAACTTTCATTTTTAAGACGGGCATCACATTTTACAATGTTCTATTTTTTGGTTAGTTTTACTTATTTTGTAACTTACATGCTGCATTTTTATTGTTATATATTGTAATACTCTATTAATTACATATGCATTTGAAAATATAATTTATCCTAATAGTTATTACCCTTGACTTCGTTACGAACACCTGCAATAATGTTTTCAATTTCATCATCTGGAAATAAATCCGGTATTTCACCATTCGCAAGCAAGTCATTTATCATTACAAGAAATTGTTCATTTGGTATTTGTGCATCAGTCATTAGAAATAAAATGCCAACGTTTTTTAAACCGGCTTTCAAATACAATCCTGACAATTCATTTTTTAGATCGGCCACACTATATCCCTTTTTTAATTGAATTTGAGTCACTTCAAGTCCGGATATAAATGCGGCCAAACGAGCCAACGATTGTTTTCCCGATCCCCCTACACCCACTAGTAATGCACTTCCTCGCGGTAATTCCAGAATACGATTAATGCTAAAATTATAGTAAAATAAATGTGAACAGAATATTAGACCAATAATTCTTTAAAAAACGACATACCGACAAATATGCATCATTGCATCTTCAAAGAGTACAAGATTCATCGCGGCGACCAAATCATTGTAAGAATTTTGGGCTTCGAGCAATAACTTCGTCAAAGATTGCCAATCTTTGTTTGGCATATATTTGGGCTCACCAATACCGTTCGCAAAGTGAGAATATATGTTTGGCTTTTCAAATACAATCGATTCATCAATATCTTCAAATGACTTTTTCACAATATCTGTTTGCATTTTTGTGAAAGTGTCAATATCTTTTTCATCCGTTAATTTATCGCCATAAACGCGATGACTTTCATGTAACCATAAGCGAATTATATCGACAGGGGTTGCCAAACAATCACTTGTGCTAAAAAGTAATCCTTGAAAAATATTGCTAAGATCCCTCAAATTGAATATATAATGGAATTTGACAGCAGTTGGCAGAAATATTTGCGTGACTTTGTTATGAAGCGCAAGCGAAGCAGTGACTATATTAGCTCCTATTTTTGTTACATTTGGATTAAACTTTTGTTCAGCATTTACAAAATGCGATGTAAGAATGGAATGATATATCATTGTTAAGGATTCTGTGTTTGGAAAATTTACAGCAAATACTGGAAAGCAGAAAATATGGATTAATGCTGAAAATATAGAGTTATTGTAACGAGGAATACCAGAAAAATGTCGTTGCAGACGAGGATTTATCGTGAAGCTTCCTGAGGTGGGATTCATACAAGCAACATATTGTACGTTCAGTATTTCTATGAAAAAAATAAATAAATCATATACATTTATTCAATCACTTTAGTTCGTTTTTTACTCACATTTTTCAATTGAATGGGTAAGAATAGTCATGACCTCCAAACATTCTTTAAAAAAATACTGATACAAGACGATGAATTCTAGGGGACATTCATACTAGAAAAACTAGTGAAACTAGCAGCAACTAGCAGCGACTAGCAAGCACTAGCGTATTATAGTCCAAAGAAAATGAATTGAGGCATGTAAAATATATTGTAGCATGCGTAAGTCGCTTGCAAACGAACCAAGTGAATAGCGGAGACGCACGAAAACGAAGTGAGTGAATAGCGACAACGAACGTTGTTATCCGTTGCCGCAATACACTCACTTCGTTATCGTGCGTCTCCGCTATTCACTTGGTTCGTTTACAAGCGACTTAAGCATTACTGTTGTTTCTTTTATGTATCATACGATACGTCTAGGTAATTTCAAAACACTAGAAAAACTAGCAGCTACTAGCAGCACTAGTGTACTCACTAGTAATACTAGTAAGCGATTAGCGAATACGTAAATAAAACTAGCTTACTAGAATTGCTACGAATGTCCCCTAGGATGAATTAAAATAAATAAAAATAATTAAATTTTTTTCTTCGATTTACAAATACTATTCAATTTTCTGTACCATCTGGTGAAATCAGAATGAAAAAAATCGCATTCCTTATCACCCAAATCACGATTGGCATTTGGTCACTATTCAATAGGTGTTACATAGTAAGTTTATATGAAACTCTCAGAGACTCGGTATAGAGCACTCAAACAGTGGAAAAATTTAATAATTTTTTTCATTTTTCGCGATTTTTTATACCATCTATATGGGAAGCTTGTATGAAACTCTCGGAGACTCGGTATAATGCATAAATGAGTTAAAATAGATGAGATACTAGCCAGAATTGAAAATAAATTTGATACTTGAACGAATTGAAAATAAATGTGATACATACCACTTTTATTTTCAATATCTTTCAAGTATCAGATTTATTTTAAAAGCGAGTTAGTATCTCATTTATTTTAATTCATCGTCTTGTATCAGTATTTTTTAAAGAATGTTTGGAGGTCATGATTATTCTTACCCATTCAATTGTGTTTGAGTATGCACTTACCTTTGAGAGTAAGCCGATTGCGATCATACCTATTTTAATTGGAATTATGTATGTTTTTATAATATCTGTCGAGTTAAAAATTAAAAATTTGAAACACAACATTTCTGTCACCAAATTTTGTTCCCATTTGAGTTCAAGTAGAGCTTCGAGGATACATACGCATAGAAGGGTAAGCTAGGTTACTGGGATGTCATGGGTCAACGACGAAGTATCAAAAATGGTAAAACACTATAAAAAATTATGTCTGACGTTATTTTTGCCATAAAAATTATTTTTGAAACACTTTTCATTACTAAAGTCAAAAAAAATTTGGATTTTTGTAAGAGAGCCATGTCTGTATGCTACTGTAATGATGTGAAACTTTGCGAAGGGTATTTTTTTCACAAAAAATTTTATACGGAGGGTTCATAAAAACTAGTATCGGATTCGGTTTTCTCGTGCCAAAAAAAACCCCCAATACATATTTTTGAGTGTTTAAGTCTACATTAAGTATGACGTTTGGACGAAAATTGGACTCTTTCTCATAGCTATCATTCCAGGCATTAAATTTATTCCATCAACCAAAGTCAAGAGGATTAGCGCAATCTTGCTAACAAATTTTGCGTACGACTTACGACGTACAGATTAACAAAAACCATGTTTAAAAACGCCAAATTCGTGTTCTCTGACCCCAATAATAGCACTGTGTGTCACTCAAAATCTGACAGAAACGAGACCAGTCGGTTTTACATAATTCTGGGGCGCTGATTTCAATGGCATCATTCATTTTTCCTATCATGTCAGGATTTTTGGATTCACATGGATTCACTAATCCCGTTTATCAAAATAAATTCAAAGTTTTTGTAATCGATAGTACAGAATTTGATAAAAGCATTGAACTTGTTTTGAGATAGTAATTTGTTGTTTTTTTAAATATTTTTTAGTTCAAAAGTCGATTACAAATTTACAAAACAATAGATACACTTTCTCAAAATTTTATTGATGAAAAAAATAATTTCAATTATCAATAACAAAATGTCATACTCCAGTGTCGATAAATAAATTTTCAACAAAGTGAATAGAGGCGAAATGTGACATCACATTTGACAATGAAATGACGGATTGGTGGAATAGTAGGATTAGTGTTTTTATATTGGAATCATGGTTTAATCGTTTGTGTCTCCCCCCTAGAGAAATGTTGTTCCATGGTGGAGGTATCCATTTTTGAATTTGAATGAATTTTTCTACTAGAATGTGTTAGTTGGGTTGGTTTTTATGATTTAAGCATAAATATAAGCAATACTGAAAGTATAGTGTATCTTTATGGCTTACACAAAAATTCAAAAAAATTCAAAAAATCCAAATTTTTCCCATTTTTGATATTTCGCCATTGACCCGTGACATCTCACTTCAGATTTTTTTCGCAAAAAACCGCCTGATTCGTGATCAGGAGATCCCATAGCCAAGGTTATTACCCCCGCCGTTGAAATGTTTGAAAAATGGTACACCCTACTACATACACGTTCCAAACAGTCTTGTCGAATCGTGAGATACAGTTATATTTTCACAAAAAAAAAATTCTCAAAGTTTGAAGAAATTTTGACGAAAGTTGAGAGTATCATACATTTTTTTGTATTTTTCTATTTTAAATTCATATTTGTTTACATTTATTTATTCAATTGCTGTTTTTTTTTTGTTTTCGACAAATTATTGTAGACTACTTGATTTTGCCCATTTAGTCCGGTATCATAGGTTTTCGACATGTCAAAAATGTCGAAAAATTTATATATATTGAATTTTGAAACAAAAAATCCAAATGTTATCTCTTTGTCCATAGCTGTCCACGAACGTTCGTTCGTTCGTTCGTAGAAAATGAATTGTTCGGATTGTTCGTTCGTATGTTCGTACGAACGACGAACGACGAACAACGGACACGTTCGTTCGTTCGTAATTTTTGGGAACTTATTTTCTCAATGTATACAAATATTGCGAAAATAAATGTAAATTGGGAAAACGTTAAATCGATTTTTCCAGCTTTTCCGATGGGAAATCGTGAAAAATAAGCAAAATGTTGACTCCCATAGGGAGCCACAATACCTGAATGGTTCGATGATGGAATTCTGCTGATCCATGGATTCTCAGGATTTGACCTGGATTCCAGAACTTCCCCTATGGGAGTCAACATTTTGCTTATATTTCACGATTATACATCGGAAAAGCGGGAAAAATCGATTTAAAGTTTTCCCAATTTACATTTATTATCGCAATATTGGTTTACATTCAGAAAATAAATTTCCATAAATTACGAACGAACGAACGTGTTCGTTGTTCGTACGAACATACGAACGAACAATCCGAACAATTCATTTTCTACGAACGAACGAACAAAATATACATTGAAAACGAACGAACGGTTCGTTCGTTGGTGTTCGTGGACAGCTATGTCTTTGTCCCTTTATTTTGTATCGATGCACTGGTAATTTTTTGTTTTGACACCAGTTTTGTACTTGACAGAGCGAAATATCATTACCCTCTAATGTATTAATTTTTTTTCGACATGAGAACTATTTTTTATGATTATTTTGGTTTAATCCTGCCTTTATGATGGATTTATATGATGGGTTTATATGTCATATAGGGTGGCGACTTGAACGAGAGTGAAGAAAACTTTTTCAAAAATTCAAAAAAAAATGTGATTTTTAGAAATAGCAATTTTGGTTTATTTTTTACATTTCTACGCTCAAATTGATATTATTTCATGAAATAGAGCCATTTCAAACTTCAAATGGCCAAATTATACAGATTTTTTTTATTTTTTTTCGAATCAGGGAGTTGTGAAAAACTCATTGTGTACGCTTAATAGTGTTTTACAATAAACCTGATTTGTACTGTGATCTAACTTGGTCAGTACTATAGTAGTTTCAAAATTAGAAAATGCGAGATATGTGGTATGACGTCTCGCTGCATTTCTTGTAGAATTTTATTATTGTTTCAAGCTTGTGTCTTATAATCTCATTAGCTTGAGTGACATCCCTTCCGAAATAAATATTTCGTATTCTAGCGAAGGCACTACATTCACATAGAAAATGTTTCGCTGTTTCTCTTGACCTACCACACATGTCACAGTCTAGGTCATCTCTTATTCCATTTCCTGCATTTAGTTTGCAATGACCTGTGATCAGACCTATGACAATGCGTATGTTTTGTTTGTTCATTTCTGGAATCTGGTCTGTTAACTTTTGATTTACAGTTCTAAGGAAGTATTTTGTATGCTCGCCTATTCTAGTTGCATTCCAAAATTCTATTGTTTCTATTGATTTATACGGATTTACTAATCCAGGTAAAATCTTCAAAAATCGTTGAAAACCAGAAAATTTAAAGAATTTCAATATTTAAAAAATTCGAATTTTTAGTAACGACCAAAGCAACGGCTATAATAGCTTGATAGGGCTGTGTCCAAAGATTACTGAGCCATGCTGATTACTGTGCGGGGGTCAGCTGCAGAGTTTTCCTTCGTTCTGGAGTCTGCACGTCTAAGTTTTTTTTAATATAAAAACCGGTATTTACCGATTGAAAGAAAATTGTCAATATTGAGTAAAAAATGAAAATCTTGTTCACCATTCCAAAAAATATCGGATGATGTATGTGAAGAAAAATGAAGAAAGTGGTCTTTTTTTAGTCGAAGTTTTGAATATAAACCACCATAACTTTTAAACCACGAAATCGTTTCAAGTGATTTTATGGTATTGGATCGCTATGGACTTCAGTATTACAAAGCAGTTTGGAAATTGAAAATATTATCCGCAATGTGACCTCAGTGTTGATTTATCTCATACTGTCTTTGGTCAATATTGACCATTTTCTTTCAACCAGTGTTTAAAAAAACTCCAATATGCTGGGATCTAACTGTGCATGATTTTAGTAACCCGTATTAGAAGGATTCACGATTCATGTATAGTCATTGACAAAACAATGTTCCAAAAATACA